GCTAGAGCACAGGGGACCATACATGCATCTTAGAGAAAGACTGTCTGTTTCTTCTTACCTAACATTAAGTATGTCTGTCTTCATTTCACACTCTAATGACTATTAGACTGAACTTCCTCAGCTGATGAATGCTCCTCTGACTTCACCCTGGTCAGAAGTCACCTGAAAATCACTTTCTCTGAAGTTGTGAGATGGTATATTTTTTCCTGAATACGAAGGAAAAGGGAGCAATGTTGAGCTATTGCCATATTTTCCAGTCAGAGTCAGACATAGTTATTTTTGTAATAGAGCTTAGAGGAAAACCAGTGGAAATGCCAGACAAACTTTCAAAAAAAAAAAAAAAAAAAGAAAAAGTGTTAATACTTAAATATTGTTCATCTTTCACAGCGTTTACTTATCTGTTTCCCACATGCTGAACCTTGTTGGAGAGTTTTTGTGGTTAACTGTGACCTGTTCTTTCATTCAGCATGTTAACTGTTTTCTCATTTTGCATTTTTAAAAAGAAATTAGTGGTAAAAGTCTGACTGAGATAATTGTTCAAGCACTGAGTGGGAGCACCCTTTCAATAGGACAGGCATAAATTCTTGTGGTTCACATGCATTGGGGCATAAATCCAGTGAACTGCGTCATTTAGTGCCACCATGGGAAGCATCCTTACCCGAGAGATTGAGCACTAGCAAATCCACAATCATTTTCAGAGGCTGCAGATTCTGTGACAGCAATTTAATCCTTATCGCTGAACCATCATATTTTGTCCAGCTCACATGTTTGTTAACCAAAATCTTTAAGGAGGAATATGTCAGAAGCCTGGATTTTTATCATATTTAATGCAAATCTGACTTCTATCATATGTTGGTTTTATCTGTTTTGGATTTTTAGTACTTTGCTGTGTGAGGCGTAAGTAATCAGATTGTGTCATTTGGTAACATGTTGTTTGGGAGTTGTCTCAATGAATCTGTTAACTTCCTTCTACATCTAGCCATCTTTTCACAGGTCATACTACCAAGGTGAAATGTTTTCAGTGGTGGCTTTATTTTAAGTAAAGTATATTTCAGTATTAAAGTCAGTCACATTTTACATGACGTCTTAAATGTTCATGCAGTACCATCTTCAAACTTCAGTCTCCCACCCACCTCTTCTAGCACAACCTGCCTGATGTGTCAGAGTTAACAGCAACCAGAGAACAGGATGGAGTCAAAAATTCCCCCCCCCACACATCCCTGGGCCCTTTGAGGGTTTTCCACTTAAGCCCTATTGGCACTGTTAAGTGCAGCTGGGGAAAATCCAGTTTGCAGACTGGAAGACTCCCCTGCCAGCACAGAGCAACAAAAACTGCCTTCATCTTCATCCAGTCAGCTCTATGTCTCCTGATGAGTTCAGTTGTGGTTTCTAGCCAGATTGATTGCTCCCATGGCTCTGCTATTATCTGAACACAGCCAGCTCAGGTGTGGGGATCTTGTGTAGCAGAGATGATCCTCATGGTGCCTCCCTGCTCAGCACTGTGCACATGAGCACAATGTGAGCAATGGACAGGTGTTCTGCTTCTCTTTGGTAGAACCATGAGAGTTACCAGGAATAAATTAAATGCACTGATAGGTGAAGCAGGCTGTGCATGTTTTCTGGTGTAGCTACAAAGATGATCTTGGGTTTAATTTACAGATTTCAGGAGAGATCCCATACTAGATGTCAGGAGGATTGAAAGTGCCTTCTCAGCCTCAGGCAATCCTTCCAGCAGTTGCAAAATACAAATGTTACACCGAAGCTGTTTCAACCAGAAAGAAGCATTCTTCAGCTTCACTTGAAAACATACAAAATGTAAAGAAAGCATGTTTGCTAATCTCTCATTGCATGTAACAGACAGGGATCCTTGGTGTGACTGGAACTGGTTTCTACATGCTTTTCTGTGGCAAACATTGTGCTCCATCAAGTGCAACAAGACTTTAAAAAACACAGATTCTGTTTACACATTTGTGCTCACTCTTCCTGTTCTCTGGTGTGCAGCCTTCCTTAAAAACTGTTTTCTCCTGCCTATGAGAAGCATACCAGCTCATCTTGTCACACGGGCTCATTTCATTTAGCCGTCATTTTTTGTGTCTGTGTTGTGAAAGTTGGTGTGTAAGCTAACCCAGCTGTGTGTTACTCACCTCCCTCACTGTCTGCCCAAATTCTCTGATTTTCTGATGCATGATTGCACTATTTTCTGGGCTTGAAAAATGTTTCCCACTAACCAGAGCAATACCCAGGTGTATTCATCTTGCTCTTCTAAAATTGCCTTTCTTGTTTTGTTCATTGCAAACTGAAGAACTTATCAGCTTTCCTCCTCTTAAGCATCAAAGCTCCTGCTGTTTCACACTAACAACCTCTCTTTGAAACATACCCACTGCATAACAAAAATCCAAGCAGTAAAGATGTCTTTAGCTTCATGCTTGCCTCTTCTAGAGGTGGTGTCTGGTGCATCTTCCTTTACACTGGCATTCTAAAGAAAGGGGAAAAAATATAACATATTTCAAAAATGTGCAAGAGGTTGTTACAATGTGTAAGTTAAAGGATAAAGAAAAGCTTAGAATGTCTTGTTTGAAGTGTTATTTTATTAACATTCTTTTGCATCTGTGAAGGCAGATGCTTCTTTTTAAAATAAAGACAAGGTTTTCATGTGTTCACCTTGCTGCAGGAGGTGAGTCTTGGAGTTGGCACTGGGGAATGATCTTGTGGCCTCTTGTGATCCAGTTGCATCTGGCCCACATGCACAGGTCTGGGCTCTGAGCAAGGCTTGAGAGTGCATCTTCATCCTGCACAGGATCCAGCTCTTCCTGGGCTTCAGGCCTGGCCAGCCAGCATTTTAAATGCTGAATCTTTTCTTCGTTGGATGTGCTTTTGGCTCATCATTTCATATAAGCTCAATTTTCATGTATTCTTTTTATGCTTTTAGTAATTGTCATGTTTTGGAAAGGAAATACTTTTAGAAAATGGAAAGCATGAAGCAGCCTTCGTGTTTAACGTAGGTGGGGGTTAGGTTTCATTCTACCCTAAACTGACCCCTCAGCCGAGAGATTCCTGCTTTTATGTTTTAGATCATGTGTAAAACCTGATGCTGTCTGGATCATCTTGTGTGGGACAAGTATATCTAGGGGACATGGGGAGAGATATGCAGCGAGACATTTGCAGAAGGGAATGAAATGTTTGGGATGTAGCCTCATGCTTTCTTACAGCAGTGAACATCAATCACACCTTCTCAGAAAAGTGTGGCACCGAGTCTTCCTTTCCCCTCTCTTTTTTTTTTGTTTCCCTCCTCCCCCACTTCTATTTATTCTCTTTCTTCTGATATGCCGTGGCAAGTGCGGTTTTAGCTCAGAAAACTAACTTGTCCTTGAAAATACAGACGCTTCCCTGATTTTATTCCTTTGGCCATTGACTAAACGGCAGTTATTTTTGTTGTACCAATGATTTACGGCTGAACAGATTTGCAGTTTATATTTTTAGTTTTATAGGCAATTTAGATAATGTATATTTGTAACCATAAATATTTTGTCCTCTTACAGTCTGTCAATGAATGTTATGCCCGGTTGGAGAAAATTACATAAACTAAAGAGATGCAAGCATTGCTTTCTTAGAGTAGCCTCACGATTCTTTTCAAGTACCTCTATAGGTAATGCTTAAACATAGCAGAATTTTGATCATCTGTTGGTAAATCACCTGGACGGGTGCCATCCAGAAGAAATAACCTACTTTTCTTAAGTGATCCAGTTCTCTACAAGGCTCAGAGTAGAATGTTGTCACATCAACGTTCGGAAAGTACTGGACTTTTAAAATCAAGATCTGCATACTTATTTAAAAAAAAATACAAATTTGCTTTCGATGTGCAGTTTGTGTTATTCTTTGGCTTGTTTCTGGAATCAGTAAATATTAAAAAAAAACGAGAGTTGCTACTGGAAGGTTAATTTTGCAAATTGCATAAAAATAACAATAGATTTTAGTAAAAAATCTAAACATAGTTTTTATCTGTCTTCTTTTACATCTTGCATGAGCTGTTATAATTCTGCAGATACAGCGCTTGCAGTGATCCTGGGAAGGTACTTATGTAGCACTGCTTGTTTGGCTGCTGTCCCCTTCTCTTCAAAGGCAAATACTCCATCTTTTCACTCCCAATCACCACCTTCAGTCAAAGCAATACTATTCAAGCATTCCCATGCTTTTCTCCAGCTGCTTACACCTCCTCTTATAGCCTAGCCTGATCTGAGGTCTGAGCCCTTGAGTATCTGTGGCAGCATGGTGAATTGCCGATAGGAACATGCACATTTTGCACTCTCTCCAGTTTTTGTTTTGACACTAGCTTGCAGTAGCTTTCCTGTAGTATGGCTGGAGGAACATGGCACACATTGCATTAACCAAAGGACACTGGACTGCACTAGTGGTTGGTTGTTTTTCTCTGAAGTTACACAGAATAAAATGGAAACCAAGGGACAGATTTAATGTTAATAACATAAATTCCTTGATAAAATCAAAGCCTTGACGAAAACAAGTATTAGTTAATCTGAAGTCTCTTAGATCATCTTTTGTTGAAAGGCCATTCTGGTGTGCTGCTAGAGCTTCTATAGTATGTGTGCACAAGTATGAGCGTATCTACAGTGTGATCTGCTAGATCACTGAGGTATTTTGTTTAGGCACTACACTAATACAAGAAAAAACATAGTCTCTGTTATAAGGTGACTACTGTTTACTGGCAAGAAATATGCAATGGACACGATGTAATTGCCATGTTTGACATGAAAACCTTCTATGTTAAAAATAAAGTCACACAGAATCACACAGAATTGTAGGAGTTGGAAGGGACCTCCAGAGATCATCGAGTACAACCCCCCTGCCAAAGCAGGTTCCCTACACCAGGTAGCACAGGTAGGCAAAGTCCCTGTATTGTTTTCAGAATTAGAAGGAAAAAATGGAGGGCTTTTGTAAAGATTTGATATTTGAATTTTTTAATGGCTGCCTTTGTTTTATTTTAGGTTGATATCGACTGAGTTGCCAGCACATTGCCCTGCAAAGCTTTGGAGGGCCACTTCTTAATGGATTGCTGTAGCCTCTTAATTTCTCCGCTGATCCTGTTCCCTGCATCGTGAGAACAATTTAGCCAGCACAGAACCTAGAAAAATTACATGTAAGTCATGACTCAAATTCGTTTCTATTTAAAGAAGAAAAAATGGGCTTGGGAGGCAAGGTGAAGGCAGTAAACATTGTACTTCAGAAAAATACTGTAAAGGATGTAAATGGCAAACATTAAGTGGTGAACAAATTGCTGTTGAAATAGTTACTTGCTATTCAGCTTGGGTGCTGATTGTCATTTTGAAGCCTTCTCTAAGCGTTTTCTGCTGCCATAGTAAGACTTAGCAGAAGGCACTTAAAATAGCTTCTCTTCATCCCATCTCCCTAAGATGTTTTCTCCACAACTTTGTATGTTTGCATGCACGTACCTTGGTGTACTGGGTTGAAGCCACACGTACTCTATGTAATTTTGGAGGCCAGCAGCATGACTATAGGCATCCTTGTATTTTTCCCATCATGAAACCCATAACCTCCTCTTTTGCCATGGTTTTCATAATGATTCCCTTGGAGAAGCCCTGGGGCTGTGTTGCTTCTCCTTTCCAACTGCTGCCCTGAAGAGCTCTGTAAGCATCAGTAGTAACACTGTCAACTCCATCTCCTTCCAGTGAGCTTCCCATGTGGGGCACAGAGCTGGCTGCTCCACCAAAAGTCAGAGCTGACATACATCAGTGACAAGCATCAAGAATGCTGCCGCCACAGGGTGTTTATCCTAGCTAGTAGTGTGGCTCAGGAGCCTGCAGCTTTATTAGTAGTTGCCAGTGAAATCCCATTGCTTCTTGCACATCGTTCAGGAAGGGACACTGCATGGACATTGCATGTCTGCATGTCCGTTCATATGGACATAGAAAAATTGTCTGTTTGATGTAGGAGAAATGTGCTTGGCTGTAAAGGCTGTAGTAGATTGGAGAAAGCTGTGCACAGATTTATTAGAGATAAAAGGAGCTGGAGACCTTCCTAGCACCACAATCTGCATGTTAACTCCTTGTGTGTGTTGAATGAGTAGATGTTTCCTGCCAGGTTGCAGAGCACACATTTCACCCCATCATGTCTAAATTCTTCTCTGAGGCTTCATGAAGCTTCATTCTGGGAAGAGTCACTATTCTAGAGGGGAGAAAATGGGTTGACCCTTTTTAATCTGTCCACAGTCCTAGGCCTTCTGGGAGGGATCTACTTGTGCAAGAAGCCTTTTGAGTGCTGCAAGGATGGCATGGATGTGGTGGTCTGGGCAATTTAGAGGATGGGACACCCGTCAGCTGCCAAGCTTGAAAAAGGCTTGAGCACAATTTTAGTGTATATATATATATATATAGTATATTTATTTTTATGTTTGTCTATATAATATACATATACATAATATATAAAATTTATAATAATGTACAGTACAAACATTTATTTGTTTGTTTGTTTGTCTGTGAGTGAAACCAAAATCTCATTGTGGTTGGGAGGTTTTTTTTCCTTCTGGATGGTGCTATGGAGCACAAAAGGCCACCTGAATTAAAGATGATAGAAAATTGTAGTTCATAGTGTTGAACTCTCTAACAGTTCTGCCTTAAGAGTAGAAGAGAAAACATGGAGAACAGGAGAAATCTTGCATAAAATCCATTGCCCAGCTTCAGAGCTGGGGCTGCTCGGGTCATGCCCTGCTGCCTTTAAGTAGCAGCAATGCTCCTTGTCTTGATGCATTCAAATCCCACATTGCTCGTGCTGTGCACTCTCCTGACCAGGCACACATGACAGCCAGCAGCTGGTCGGATAACTCCACCAGAGAGACTGCAGAGGAATGCAGGGAATGAGTGGTCGTGCTGGTGCAAGGCGTGGTACTCGCCTCTATAAGGACATCTGCTGTCCAGTGACCCCAGAGATGATCTTAAATCTTGTTATGCTGACTGTGGCTTCTGAATGTGTCAGAGCCATAGCTACCAAGCAGCAAAAAGGCAGGACCAAGAATTTCTTTGAAACCACTGGAAGGTGGGAGAGAATGTGGAGGTTTACAAATGAAAGTAAAAGAGCAAACTGTTTTTTTCTTGTCAAATAAGCAAGGTTGGCATCCTTTGCTTGTTTTTTCACTGCAGTAATAAATGCATACAATGCAGCATAATAACTAATCAAAGCAGGATAGTGAAGTCAACCACCACACTAGTTCTGGTCAGTTTTTCTTGGGTGCTTGCTAACACTGTTTTTAATCTTATGAACACATTTGTAAAATTGCTTCTCAAAAAAATGTTGTATTTTGAATTGACAGAATTTTTATGAGAAGTATACCTTATGTGAGGTACTTTGCTTATGTGACACTAAAAGTAGTGCTCAAAACAAAAAATGTTGCAAAAGAAGTGACAGGTTTTTTACTGTTAATGGGAACTCAGTTTTTAAAGAGAAGAGATGTCTTTTGGTATGACAAATCCTGGCAAAAATAATAGTGAAATAGGAGGCATTTGAGAAGGATAGAGTTGAGGGTTGAGATGAGTTGGTAGAAATGACATTTGCTGTGAAGGAGGCCTTAGAAGGTGTTGATTTGATTCTATTTTCCAGAAAAGGGAGAGTCTTGCCATTTCATTGTGAGCTAGACAGTAAATGGTGCAGTTATTAATCAAGCCTCTGATAACAAGCATCATCTGACTGCTTGAGAACCGTGGATCTCCCTTAAAACACGTTTTGCCTCTGTCTTAAGGGAAGAAAACTTGAAAATAAGAATTGTAGCAGCTAGGCAGACAGAAACAACGCTTTGTTCACTGGCCCTACTTAGCAACATTCCCATGGGATTTGGACGCCTTATGAACAGTTTTGCAGGCTTTTCTCATGATTTTTGAAAAGCCTGTAATTAGGTATCTGGCAAATTCACTAATAGAAACCCTTTCAGATGAACTGACTTTAAAAATTGCATCCTTTTAGTGGACTTGAAGAAGTAGATAGAAAGTGGAAGTCTCTCGTTCCTTGTCCACAGCCAAAGCAATCTGGTAGAAGTGCATAGGCAGTTTTTTCCTGCTGCTTCTCATGTTGTGAATAATCAGAAGTCTCCATTTCCAAGAGAAAAATCACGTTTAAGGACCAAATAAAATTGAAAAATCAAAAGAATTCTGTAGAAGCTGTCATAAAATGTGTGCCTTCCTTATTTATTTATATATTGATTCTTACTTTGTCTGTGCACTTGAAAGAGGCTAAGCCTCTACAACATGCCAGAGGCTCTGACTCCTGGAAAGCTCCAGTGTGGTCCCGCAGGTTGTCAGCTGTGCTTGGGGTGGCAGTGAGGGCAAGCCATCAGGTGCTGCCTTGATTCCAGTGTTCTTCACAAGCCTGCTGTCTGGCTTTTTAATAACAAGTTCTACTTGTAGCAATTACTTTGTTATAGCAATTCTGATCGGAAGAACTGCATTTTCCCTTGTTAATTAGCCCTGTTGGAGAGAGCTTGACCTATCTATAACAACAATCATACCATTTCTGCTTCTCCCTAGCTGCCATATATTTTGTAAGCATGTGTATCTTCCCTCCCTGCCACTGATTACTCAGTTTTTGTAATACTCAGGATGCTTATAGATTTAATCCCCATTAAAAAAATATGTATTGATGCTTTAATTTAAAGCAGAAGGTTTCTCTCTCGTTCTGACAGAGCAGATTGCTGAATGCTGTTACAGTGAACGTGCCAAGATAAAAAAAATATTTCTCCAGGTCCCCTGGGAGGTAATCATGGCAAGGTCGGACCATGTGGATAATGAGGGAGTGCAGGCATTGAGGAGAAGCTGCACTCTTGGCTGAGTGGCTAAGGAGCAACCAGTGGGCTGCTGAGGCTCTGTTGGGGCTCTCACCGATCCTGCAGCAGATGCTGGGGCCGGGCTCTGCAGCTGCCCTGCCAACACCACTGCTGAGCCACACAGCACTTCACAGCAACTTCAGCACCATTCTTACGTTTCCCACTTTGTTCTACCTGTTTTTTTTTCCTCTACAAGAGGCAAAAATAGCATACCAATCAATGGCAATCCAAGTGCAATAAATTGTCCTAATTTGTACTACTTATACAGTGCTGAGAATTCAGCAAGGACCTCTAAGTGCTTTGTTCCAAAAAAAGCCCACCCAAAACTCAAACTCAGAAAACCTCTGCAAGCGAAATTCGTATTTGCTAGGTATGAGTTCTCCAGAATATTTTAATTTAAAAAAAACCGAACTCTTGAGATTTGTCTTGCAACCATCTGTAGGCAGACATAAACAATGTAAAATTTGAAGATGCAGATTTTGATGTCATCCGCCTACTACAGGGACTGGGGAAAAATGCTGTCTTTTTTTAAATCTGTACTGAAAGGTCAGATAATTTCTTCAGTCAGTCAGTCAGCTTTCTGAAGGTGAAGTTGCATCCCCTTGAAAATCTACTTACCAAACACTCATCACTCTGGTTACCAAATCCAACCGTGATGTTCCCAAGCAGCACAGCTGTTGCTGAGGTCACCTGTCTTTGTACTACGTAGCAATCACCACTAGGATTCGATGTGAAATGTGATTGTATCGGCCACCAAATCTCACTTTTAAGCGAAAGCCTCCCTTGATCCTGGTATTTGTGTTTCTGTGTGGTAGCATGGAGCTGCTTGTTCTATTTTCAGGCTCAGTTTTTTGGGAGTACTCATGTCTGACTTCAAGCATAATGAAGATGCAAGGAAAGGTGGTCACTCAGCTCTTGGTGTGACGCTGCTGGTGTCCGCACTGCTGGTGTGGGCTTTTGTCTTGACAGGGGCTGCCCCATGCCCAGAGGTACATCTGTAAGAATGGGCAACTCCTCTTCGTGCTGAGCTATGCCATCTGTGTTTTGAGGAGTTTCACATTGGCACATGTCACTATTGTGTCAGAGTGCTTTCTGCATCATACTGGTGGCAGCAGTGATGTTACTTAAAGGACTTCATGAATTTTCTGTTATGTTTTCTTATTGGCGATTGGAATCTGCCTGCTGGCTTTCTGAGGGGTACTTGCAAAGTCCAAGGGTTGACAAGTGGTCAGGGGAAAGTGTCATTTTTCTGGTAGAGAAGGCATTTTTTTGCCTTGATCCTGGCACAGCAGGTGGTGGGCTCTGCCCAC